GGACGGACGGACGGGCGGGCGGGGGAGAATCATTTGTCTTGACTTCGCCCTAGCAACGGCGGACACCACGGGACACCACGGGACACCGCGGGACACCGCGGGACACCGCGAGCCACCGCCGGACGGGCGGGCGGGCGGGGGAGAATCATTTGTCTTGACTTCGCCCTAGCAACGGCGGGCTCATTCCTCTCGCGCGCCCACGCAGCTTCGTCTCGCCCGCACGCACGACACGAACGAAACGAACGGTTGGGGGTCTCCGTTCCACTGCGATCTCACCCCCCAATCTCCGATATAGCTACATGCCTATACCACCACCCTTCGGATGATAAGAAGGTTGGGGGGGAGGGGGGAGAGGGGGGGGAACAACCATCTGACTTAATCGATCTCACTATCGATCTCACTCAACGGGACACCACGGGACATTTGTCGATCTCTTGATCGATCTCACTATCGATCTCACTCAACGGGACACCACGGGACACCATGGGCCACAACGGGACACCACGGGACACCTCTCGATCTCATTATCTGTCTCACTATCGATCTCACTTTCGATCTCACTCAATGGGACACCATGGGACACCTCGGGGCACCACATCGATCTCAGTATCGATCTCACTATCGATCTCACTCAACGGGACACCACGGGACACCACGGGACACCTGTCGATCTCACTATCGATCTCACTATCGATTGTCACTTTTTGGGGCACCACGGGGCACCATATCGATCTCAGTATCGATTTCACTATCGATCTCCGTATCGATCTCGCTATCGATCTCACTATCGATCTCACTCAACGGGACACCACGGGACACCCGGGACACCGCCCGGCCCAACCGGGACACGTGGGACACCGCCCGGCCCAACCAGCCACCGGCGGACGGGGAACACCGGGGACACCGCCCGGCCCAATCGGTCACCAGCGGACGGGCACCCGGACTTTCGATCCTACTTCGGCCTAGTTACAGGAGGATCACGCGCCGCTTCGCCTCGCCCGCACGCACGACACGAACACGAAACCGAAACCGATCTCCCGGTGGGGGGTCTCCGTTTCACTGCGATCTCACCCCCCAACCTCCGATCCATTTCCACATCCACCGCCTGCCGGGGCTCCTCGAAGATCGATCCCCCAAGCGGTGTTTATGGATAAATCCCCGCCTCGGATTCTCGGATCGGCGCTGACTCCCTGGCGGCACATCTGGCGCGGCCCCTGAAAACGCTCTCCGCGCGCCATGGGGGGGGGGGTCCATCTCCTACCCGAGACATCCGCCCGGACCTCCGACACTTCATGCAATGCAATGCATTGAAGGGGCCCCAGGATACACAAATAAATGCACAAATAGAAATATTCCCCATATTTTCCTATATTTTATGGGTTTTCGTCTTCCCCCCACTTCCCATATTTTCCTATATTATCTGGGAAATCGACAATTAATTGTGTCTGTGTGTTTTTTCCCCTCCTGATGCATGCAATCCGCCGATGGCCACAGAACTCCCGACCACTCCTCTCGGGGGGAAGTTTCCTGCTCCGGGTCCATGTTTGGTGGTCCCGGGCTCGAACATAGCCCTCGAGAGCCGCACTCGAAGACAAACTGCCAATTGAAAATAGTAGATCGCTGGGGATCTGGGTGCTCTACTCCAATTCGTTCGATGCATGGGCCCCGGAGGTCCAGACCAATTCCCGATACCATCAGGACGCAAAACCAGCCCTATAGTAATAGGGCTGGTTTTGCGTCCCGGCTCGTTTTCTGACGCTCCCGAGGCCCGGCCCCCAGAGGCCGAAAACGGCCACAACCCGCCTGCTCCAATTTTGTCGGAGCGTCGGGTCTAAGGGGGTCCCCCCACAACAGCGCATCATGCGGGAGCGTCGGGGACCATAACACCCTAATCGGGGCGGAGAGGAGAGCACCACTCACGTTGCGTAGTCGTAGGAGGCAGCGAGCCCAGTCCCCCGACGTCATAATTTTTCATGGCGTCGACCCCCTTCGACCTATTCCATGGGACCCTGTTTTTATCCTGACTCGTTTTTGGACGGTCCCGAGGCCCGATTAGAGCCCCCAGAGGCCGAAAACTGTAGAAAACCTCCCGTCGTGATTTTTGTCATTACTCGAGGGGGGGAGTGGAGAGGAGGCAGGAGAGACGAAAGGGGGAGGGGGAACGTCGGATCTCTGGGCCCCTTCGAGGTATCCGCATTGACTCATCATACTCCTCCCCTCCCCCTGCTTCTCCTGCTCCCCTGCCAGCTGCTCCTCCCCCTTCCTTTAATCGCTGCTCCTCCTCCTCCTGCACTCCCTGCTGCTCCTTCTCCCCCTCCTCCTCCAGCTCCTCTTCCTCCTCCTGCTGCTTCTCCTCCTCCTCCTCCTCCTCCTCCTCCTCCTCCTCCTCCTCCTCCTCCTCCTCCTCCTCCTCCTCCTCCTCCTCACCACCCCACCACCACCACCACCACCACCACCCACCGCCGCCGCCGCCGCCGCCGCCGCCGCCCGCCGCCCCGCCACCACCCCCACCACCACCACCACCACCACCACCACCACCACCACCACCACCACCACCACCACCACCACCACCACCACCACCACCACCACCACCACCACCCCTCCCCCCTCTCGCCCTACGTCTGTCTGCCCGAAATGGGGAAGGGGTGCGTCGGCTCTCTGGGCCCTTCGACGACCATGGCCAGGCTCAGCGTGCCGTGCTGGGGGCCACCGCTGCCAGCAGCGCCGAGCACGGCCCGCGCCGTCAGCTCGCCCGCCGGGCCCAGCTCGAAGACCTCGGCGCCACAGGAGAGGCTGCCGAGCAGCCGCACCAGGGTGTCCTCCTCGATCGGAGGCGCGCCGGGCCCAGTTCCCCAATCAGTGCCTGCACTGAAGGGGTCCTATAGCGGAAGTCGAGACATTTGACAAAAGTTTCCCGCCGATGTTGGTAGCAGGTTGGGTTCCCGGGTTCCCGGTTATTGGTTCTGGGCCGAGTTCGGTAGGTTCTGGGTTCCTGGGCTCCCGGGTCCCCCGTCGATCTCCTCAGCGAAAACCATCCACTGATTGGGGTTTTTCTCTGGTGCAACGAGGGCCAAAGTTTTTCACCATTTTCGGCCTCTGGGGGCCTTCACCGGGCCTCGGGACCGTCCAAAAAAAAACTCGGGTTGCAAAACGGGCCCCGGGGAACAGGTCCAGACCTCTGAGGGTCGACGTTCTGAAGGGAAAAAAACTCGCCCTCGCGACAAAATCACGACGCTCACTGTTGATTCTGCTTTGTTCGGGTTCCCGGGGTTCTCGCTGGGCCCCGGGGCCGTCCGAAGGACAACCCGCGACGAACAACGGGTCCTGGGGAACGGGTCCACACCTCCACGCCGAGACGTCGGGAGTCAGCGCCAACCCTAGGTTGCGAGGCGGGGATTGGGCGGTGGACATGGCCATATTTTGGCTCCTTGGGGCCCAAATGTATCCATATCCATCGCCTGCCGAGGTCTCCGAAAATTGATCCTCCAGGCGGCGGTCATGTAAAAATCCCTGCCTCGGCTAGGTCACATGACTCCGCACGCCGCGCCCCGCGAAGCGCGCCGAGGGATCATTTTCGCTTCGCCCTCGCGCCGCCCTCTTGGAAAAAAGGGCGGCCGCTCTGGCCCAGGCCCGCTGCGCGCGAGGCGCGACCACGGCGAGGGCGTCGCAGAACTAAGGAACCATTGATGGGCCTGCTTTCCACCACCGCCACCACCACCACCACCATAAGTTGGAGGGGGAAGTGGGTCCTCCTTCTCCTCCTCTTCCTCCTCCTTTTCCTCCTCCTCTTCCTCCTCCTCCTCCCCTCCTCTTTGTCCTCCTCCTTGTCCTCCTCCTCCTCCTCCTCCTCCTCCTCGTCCTCCTCCTCCTCCCCCCCCTCCTCCTCCTCCTCCCTCCTCCTCCTCCTCCTCGTCATCCTCTTCCCCCCCTCCTCCTCCTCCTCCTCCTCCTCCTCGTCCTCCTCCTCCTCCCCCCTCCTCCTCGTCCTCCTCCTCCTCCTCCTCCTCCTCCTCCACCTCCTCTTCCTCCTCCTCCTCGTCCTCGTCCTCGTCCTCCTCCTCCTCCTCCTCCTCCTCCTCCTCCTCCTCCTCCTCCTCCTCCTCCTCCTCCTCCTCCTCCTCCTCCTCCCCATCCAACTTATGGTGGTGGTGGTGGTGGAAAACAGGCCCATCAACCATTGCGTGCAGAAAGCAAGGTCTGGGCGTCAGTGGATGGCCGATATCGTGGGTTGGCCATCACCGCCGCCCTCATTGAAGTCAGGGGCCCCCATTTGTCAGGGGTCTGAACCCTCCAGGGCACATTCCTTATCGCCGACGCCCCGACCATGCCTTCGCGACCCCCACCGAATGAGCCAGCTGACCAGGGCTAGACACCAGAGTTAGGTCGGGCATGTCTCCCTGCGGGCGGATTTTGGGCGAACCGCAAACAATGTCCCAAACATAACCCAACATAATCGAAAAAAAAGGTCGCGTCGTTTACAAAGTCCAGCAACGTGTGGCAATACAAACAATGGCGCCCTCAATACATAGGCGATTATGGCCCGCCCTTCCCTTTCCGATCTCGTCAGGGCTCATAGGGCTCATCTGGCGCATGGAACTGATGGGGCTCCCAAGGCTCATAAGGCGCATGGGGCTCATTGGGCCCATTCGGCCCATGCGGCTGCGGGGGGGAATGGCGGCAAGGGGAGAGAGAGGAATCTGGTAGGAGAAACAAGAGAGAAGGAGGATCAGGATACTTTTTCTATTTGGGGGGGCGGAGGAGGAAGACGACGAGGCGAAGGGGGGGGTAAGAAAAGGAAGAAGGCACTTTCGGTGCCGCGTGGTCTGCGCGCCCACGCGCCACGCGCCATTCTGGCGCAGGCTGCCGGCATGATCCCTGTGCTCCTGGGCCAGCTCCTCCCGCGTCAGGGCTGCGCGCGCGACCTCATTTCGCAACTTCAACTTGAACTTCAACTCCAACCGAAGTTGAAATTCAAGTTGCAATGTAGGTTGAGGTTGAGGTTTGACATGCAGCTTCAACTCCGCCTTGGCCTTCAACATCAAATTTAACTTCAACTGAATATGAAGCTGAAGTTGAAGTTCAAGTTGCTAAAAAGCACACACACACACACACACACACACACACACACACACACACACACACACACACACACACACACACACGCACGCACCCCATGGCCGCGCGGGGCCCCTCCGAAACGAAGCTGCGTCCACCGCGAGAGTTCACGCGGAAAGTGTCGTCTTCCTAGACGGAGGAAAAGAATGACGTCTGTTTGTGGGCATTCGCTTCTGGGGGTTGTTTGGGCCAGCTTAAACGCAGTTGGCCAGTGACCGACCGCAGGAAGACGCGCCGCCAGGGCCGCGCGTGCCTTAGCCGACCCAGACAGCTCCCCGAACGAGGGGGCAGGGGGAGGGAGATGCGGGGGGGAAGGGGGAGGGGGGGGAGGAAACTCTCGAACCCCCCATCCCCCCCCCCCCCCCCCCCCCTCCCCCCGATCCCCCCCGAGAGGGCCCCAAGAGGGCCCCGAGAGGGCCCCCGGGGGGGCCCGATATAAGTCAAGTCAGGGGCCTCTCGGGCGGCCCTCTTTGACTCGCTCGCGCCTTCAATCCCGAGCGCGCCCGCGCGCGCCGTCTTCAACCTCGATGTCCGACAGCGGCGCCCTGAGCATCGGGCCGCCGCCGCTGACCCCTCCGCTCGGGCCCTGCGAGCGCCGCGCCGCGCAGAAGTCCACCCTTCCCCTCTGGAGCGGGGAACGGGGAGATGGAGGAAAGGAAGCGGAGGGGACAAGGGGGAAGAAGGGGGGGGGGGGGGAAGAGAGAAGAGGGGGAGATGGAATGGGGGAAGGGGGAACGGGCAGGATATGGAAGAAGGGCGAGGCGGGGGGAGAGGGGGGAAGGGCGGCGTCGCCGCCGCCGTCGTCGTCGTCATCGTCGTCTTCGTCGCTGTCGGAATCGACTTCGGCGCAATCCTTCAGTTCACTCACGTGCGTCATCCTCGCCGTCGTCATCGTGCTCGTCTTCGTCGCTGTCGCAGTCGACATTGTCGCCGTCGCCACGGTCGTCTTGGCGCGTTGCGTTGCCCACCCACCCCCCGCGCCCGCCAGCGAAGCCCAACAGCTGCCCGCGCGTGGTCGGGCCCGATCGGGCCCGAGACGCGGCGCAGCAACTCCTGGGCGTCCTCGCAGCGCTGCTTGCCTCCCGATGAGAAATGCAAGCCGATAAGGGCGGACCTACGCCCACCGCCCAACTACTGGTGTTGGTGGCGATGATGGTGATGGTGATAACGTTGGTGATGACGCGGGCGTTGACGATGGTGATGATGTTGTCAATGTGGTTGGTTATGATGATGGTGATGATGATATTGATGATGATGTTGACGACGTCGGCGATGGTGGCGACGCTGGCGACGATGATGATGACGATTGCACTCTCTCGCCATCCTCGCCTTTGCCTTTCCCATCGCCGCCTTGTCCCTCTCTCCTCCCTCTCCTCCCTGCCTCTCGCCCCTGCTCCCCCGCCCTCCCTCTCCTTCCTGCTCCCCCCTGTCTCCATCATCCCTCATCCCTCATCAATTCTACAGATTCTCCCCCTTTCCTTCCCCCCTCCCCCCCCCCAATCCTTTCCGGCCCTCCTCCCTCTGTCCCCCCAAATCCCGCCAGCCCCCGCTCTTCTCGCAGGTGCTCGCCTGCCGCCTGCACCACCGCGTCCACACGATGGAGCCCCGAAAGGCTGAAGAGCACGTAGTCGAGGGGCTGTACGTTGTTGTGTTTGCCCAGCCTCCTCGTGCTTTCCATGCTCTTGCGGCCTGCGCGGTGCGCAGGTGGGGAAGGGTGAGTTAGAGTTAGAATTCGAATTGGGTTTAGAGTTAGAGTTATAAGTAAACTTACATATAAAATGAAAGTTGTAGTTCGAGCTAGAGTTATAGTTAGAGCTAAAAGTTAGTGTTAGAGTTAGGCTTAAAGATCGAGTCGGAATTTAAATGAAAATTATATACATATAGAGAGAATTTGAATTATGGTTATAGTTTGGATTCGGCCTGCAGCTAGAGTTAGAGTTAAAATTATAATCAGTGTTAGAGTTCGAACCGGAATTGGAGTAGGAGGTAGAGTTATAGTTGAATTCCGAGTTAGAGTTACAGTCGAATAATTACCCGTCGACAATTCCGCCAGTGTGTTCCAACAGTCAAAGAACGTCCCCAGACTAGTTGTTCACTATGTTGCAAATTCCCCCCGTAAAGAGACACGCCCGACTTTACACCACGGCCATGTCTCAAACTCGGGCCCGCCACGAATATTAACTCCCAGGCCTGGGTCAGCGGACGGGCAGGAGGACGGGTCGGCTCCGCATGGGGGCACCGGGATGGATCAAAGGGGACTGGCTGACCCCGCTGGCGCTGAGCCCCGGCACGTGCCCATACGTACAGCGTCTCGACAAAATCGGACGGCGTCTTTTTGTTTGTAGTGTTCTGCCTCTCGGGGCCACCACCAGGGACCGTCAAAAAGCGACTCGGGATGTCGGACGTCTGTGTGTGCGCCGGATCCTCGCACAGCGGGGGCGCGCCGGGCAGCGACGTCGCGTGCTGCTCGAGGTTGCGGGCAAAGGCTGCCACCTGCCTCTCGCCGACGGCGCGGGCCACAGCCGTGAACACGCTGCTGGACTGCCGGATGCAGAGGCCTTTCCCCCTGAGCGCCTCCGCGAGGGCCTGGGTCACCAGCGGCCGGGGGTCCTTGGAGGCCGCCCAGAGGGTCGCGCCGCGTCACCGATGCATCGGCGCGGCAGTAGGCCCGTACGATCAAACATCCTGCAATCCGAATTCTAGGGACACAACCTTCGTCGACCTGGAGCTTCGCAGGGAGCCCAAGGACTCTGCGGCCTCATCGGGAGATCAGAAAGTATTGTGGGGCACCAGTTGGCATGCCCGTTTTTTTAATTGGTGCGCCCACTGTACATCGGCATCGCTGGGACAATGAAGATCCTGCTCGAGATCGCGCCGCATCGGCGATGCGGCGCGGTCCTCCGATACCAAGTGCTCTGGCCCCATCTGGCGGGTTCCAGAAACCTTGAACCCGAAAACATCGTTCGGGGAGGCGTAAGAATCGGTTTCGAGGGACTCGGGTTGGCCTGGCAGGGCCATCATGCAAATGACGAGACCTGGTCCAGAACTTGACGCGAGCTCCCTCTGCAGACATCCCTCGAAGCCTGGACGGTCAACATATCCAGGAAGCGCCCGAATTCCGGGTTTTCCTGATCCTGGGAGTTGCAACCTGACATCCTGGGCCTACACGGTTTCCCTCGGGCCGTAGGCGACCCGAGGAGGAGAAACAGGAGGAGGAAGAGGAGGAGGAGGAAATGGAGGAGGAGGAGGAGGAGGAGGAGGAGGCGGAGGCGGAGGCGAGTGGGGCCCGTGCACCACCATGCCTGGCCAGGGCCGCGGCCTCGGCCTGGAGGGCGTATGGACCATGTCGGGGCCCAGGTGGAGGGTTTCTCCGAAGGGCTCAGGCGACTCCTCCTCCTCCTCCTCCTCCTCCTCCTCCTCCTCGTCCTCCTCCTCCTCCTCCTCCTCCTCCTCCTCCTCCATCGCTTTCTCCTCCTCCTCCCCTCCGCCTCCGCCTCCTCCGCCTCCGCCTCCGCCTCCTCCTCCTCCTCCTACTCCTCCTCCTCCTCCCTCCTCCCTCCTCCCTCCTCCCTCCTCCCTCCTCCCTCCTCCCTCCTCCCTCCTCCCTCCTCCCTCCTCCCTCCTCCCTCCTCCCTCCTCCCCCTCCCTCCTCCTCCTCCTCCTCCTCATCTCTCCTCCTCCTCCTCCTCCTCCTCCTCCTCCTCCTCCTCCTCCTCCTCCTCCTCCTCCTCCTCCTCCTCCTCCTCCTCCTCCTCCTCCTCCTCCTCCTCCTCCTCCTCCTCCTCCTCCTCCTCCTCCTCCCTCCTCCTCCTCCTCCTCCTCCTCCTCCCTCCTCCCATCACCCCCCACACTTCGGCACACCCCTCACACGTTTCGTGGCCCCATGGGGAGCTCCACCGAAGTTCCCAGAGGGACCGCCCGTATGCGTCAGCCACCACTCTGTATAGCGTCCCGTGGCCCGAAAGGGGGCTTCACCAAAGCCATCACTGGCACCGCCCGCATGCGTCAGCCCGCACCCAGCACAGCGCTTCGTGGCCTCATAGGCAGCTCCACCAAAGGCCACAGTGGCACCGCCCGCATGCGTCAGCCACCACCCAGCACAGCGTTTCGCGGCACCATTAGGGAGCTCCACCGACGGCCCCAGTGGCACCGCCCACATGCGTCAGCCACCACCCAGTACAGCGCTTCGTGGGCCCACAGGCAGCTCCACCGAAGGCCACAGTGGCACCGCCTGCATGCGTCGTCCACCACCCAGCAAAACGTTTCGTGGCCCCACAGGGAGCTCCACCGACGGCCCCAGTGGCACCGCCCGCATGCGTCAGCTACAACCCAGTACAGCGCTTCGTGGGCCCACAGGCAGCTCCACCAAAGGCCACAGTGGCACCGCCGGCATGCGTCAGTCACCACCCAGCACAGCGTTTCGTGGCCCCATAGGGAGCTCCACCGACGGCCCCAGCGGCACCGCCCGCATGCGTCAGCCAACACGCAGTACAGCGCTTCGTGGGCACATGGGCAGCATGACCGAAGGCCACAGTGGCCCAGCCCACATGCGTCAGCCACCACCCAGCACAGCGCTTCGTGGCCCCATAGGGAGCTCCACCGACGGCCCCAGTGGCACCGCCCGCATGCGTCAGCCACCACCCAGCACAGCACTATCGTGGTCCCATAGGGAGCTCCACCGAAGGTCTCAGTGGGACCGCCCGCATGCGTCGGCCACCACCCAATACAGCGCTTCGTGGCCCCATAGGGAGCTCCACCGATGGTCCTGCATGCGTCGTCCACCACCCAGTACTGCATTTCGCGGCCCCAGTGATTGGGAGCTCCACCAAGCCCCAGTGGCACCGCCCGCATGCGCCCCCCCACCCACCCAGTACAGCGCTTCGTGGTCCCATATGGGAGCTCCAGTGGTCCGCCTGCATGCAACTCCCCACCCAGTACAGCGCTTCGTGGGCCCATAGGGAACTCCACCGGAAGCCCCACTGGCACCGCCCGCATGCGTTTCCCCCTCCCAGTACAGCGCCTCGTGGCCCCAAAGGAAGCTCAACCGAAGCCCCCACTGGCACCGCCCGCATGCGTCGGCCACCACCCAGTACAGCGTTTCGTGGCCGCGCAGGGAGCTCAACAGAAACACCCCAATGGCACCGCCCGCATGCGTCTCCCCCAACCAGCAAAGCGCTTCGTAGCCTCATTGGGAGCTCCAGCGAAGCGCACCGCCCGCAAGCGTCCGCCACACCCAGTACAGCGCTTCGTGGCCCATAGGGAGCCCCACCCGAGGCCCCAGTGGCACCGCCCGCATGCTTCTCCCCCATCCATTGCGGCACGTCCCTCGCGCGCCTCGTGGCCCCACGGGAAGCTCCACCGAAAGCGGCACCCGCGACGCGCTGCTCACAGCTGCATACGTCTGGGTCCTTCGCCAGGACGATTCTCATCTCTCGAGGGGCTCTGGGGATCGGCACCCCATCGGGGGCGCAGCTCTTGCTGCCGCCACCTTCCGCCGCCCTCCGCCGAGGAAGCGATGCCAACTCCTTCGATCCTCGGAGGCGAGGCCTTTCCTTTAGAGTAGGGGATCGACTGCCAAATTAACACAACCCAGGAAAATTGAACCTTCCGTCGAACCTACGAAAAAATGCATCGAATGCCCCTCACATCTGCAGCTCTGATGATGCATGTTCCGTAGATCCGGAGGACAAAGTGAATTTCGGGGGCAGATCAATTCTGTAGTCGATCTCCCATCGGGGGCGGCCAAGAGGGGGGGTGCAAATCAGGGCCGGCGGCATCTGCGCGGCCTAAAAGGGGGGGACAGGGACGCAATGAAAGAAGAAGAGGCGCCACGCAAGCTGGGGAAATACCATGGCCCACGCCATGATATATACCCCCCCCCCTACACATCACCCCCCAATTTGCCGCCCCCGATCCCGCTCGACAGTCATGGATACCGCCAGTGTGCTCCGGACCCAGACCCCCGACGTCATGACTTTTTCATGACGCAACCACCAGAGGTCCGGACCTATTCGCCAGGACCGGTTTTTCATCCTGAGTCGTTTTTTGACGGTCCCGAGGGCCGGTAAGGGCCCCCAGAGGCGGAAAATATGGAAAAACCTCCCGTCGTGATTTTTTCATGACTCGAGGGGGTCTGGGGACGCCTCGGCAGCGGCCCGGGGTCCTCGCGCGCGAGCCGGGGCCTGCGGAGCTTCTGCGCCTCGGCCCTCCGGGGCCTCGGGGCCTTGGCGGCGCGGCCGGGGCCGTTGAGGATCTTCGCCAGGGCCTCCGCCAGGCGCTTCTTCTGGTAGTCGTGGGGGCACCTCGGCGTGCGCGGCGCGCGGCTCGGCGGAGGGCGCGGCGAGGCCAGTCCTCCCCCGCCGCGCGCGAGCGCTGTCCCGCAGATGTGCGCGACGGGGGGGGCGGGGCGGGGCGCCCCTGCTCGGCCATGGCCGCATCCCGAGGAAGCCCCTCGGGGGTGTGTCCGATGCACCGTGTCGGGGGAACTCGGGGATGCGCTGTATCCCCGAGTTCCCCCCCTTGTTCCTGAGCGGCCAAAGCTTGGGAGGGGAGCTCGGGGATTGGGGAGAGGAGCCCGCCCCTGCGACAATTGCGCCGGGAAGGATGGGAAGAATGAGGGGCAGAGCAGGGGATCGCGAGGGCAGAGGACACGATAGGCCCAGACCCAAGGGGCCCAAGGACACACACACACACACACACGCAAAAAACAAAAAAGAATAGCAGGCTTCCCCATCTTTTCCCATATGTTCTGGGTTTTCGTTGTCCCCCCCCACACTTCCCATATGTTCCCAGATAGCTTCCGGGGGATCAACGACTGAGTGTGTCTGTGTGTCTTCTCTCTCCTCTTGACGGACATCTGGCGCCTCAACTTTTGGCGGTGCGTTGGCCTCAAGACCTCCCGCCTGAGCGCCCGGCACGGGTGCGGAAGCCATCCCGGTCCCCCCTCGTGCCGAGAACACATCACGACGGGAGGCGCTTCGCTGTTGTCGGCCCCCGAGGGCCCCTGCAGGGCCTCGGGACCCTAACAAAAGCGACTCGGAGAAAAAAATAGTCCTCGGGAAGGGGTCGAGACCTCTGGGGGTCGACGTTCTGAGACCTCGCGACGTCGGGGGTCTGGTATTGGTGCGATGCCTAACAATAGATGCTGTTCAAAACCGACAGCGGCCGCTGTTGGGCGGGCCTTCCTGTCTCGAATGAACACGCCCGCGGCGGCATGGCCAGCGAACCCTGTTCAAAATGAACGAAGGATGATTTCGGTCTACGTAGTCAACCAGATCCGCCACTGCGCTTGCAGCGGTAGCTGTGTGTCGGTTCCTCTCGCTCCTTGCGAAGTAGTAGTTGGGCCCCCCCCCGAAGCATGGAGAACAAGATGCGCTCATTTTTCCCAACCATCCTGTGGAGTTGGGTCCTCGTTTTGAAAAGACAGCGCCCCGCGTTCTCCTCTCCTCCTCCTCTCCTCTCCTACTCCCCCTCCTCCCGCTCCTCCCACCCCTTGCGCCCCTCACACGTTTCGTGGCCCAATGGGGAGCTCAAGGAGCTCAACCGTTGGCCCTAGTGGAAAAATTCGCACGCAGTTCCGTCTCCCATTCCGGCGCACCCCTCACACGGTTCGTGGCCCAATAAGGAGCTCCACCGAAGGCCCCACTGAGAAAGTTCGCATGCAGTTCAATCCCCGAATTCGGCACACCCCTCACACGGTTCGTGGCCCAATGGGGAGCTCCAACGAAGGCCCCAGTGGGAAAACTTGCATGCAGTTCCAACCCCCATCTCGGCGTACTCCTCACACGGTTCGTGGCCCCCTAGGGAGCTTCACCGAAGGCCCCAATGGAAAAGTTCGCATGCAGCTCAATGCCCGAATTCGGCACACCCCTCACACGGGTCGTGGTCCCACAGGGAGCTCCTCCGAAGGTTCCAGTGGGAAAGCTCGCATGCAGTTCCACCTCCGATTTCGGCGCACCTCTCAAGCGTTTCGTGGCCCCGTAGGGAGCTACACCTAAGGCTCCAATGGAAAAGTTCGCATGCAGTTCCACCTCCATGTCGTCGCATCCCTCACACGCTTCGTGGCCCCATAGGGAGCTCCACCGATGGCCCCAGTGGGAAAGTTTGCATGCAGATCCACCCCCCATTTCACCCTTCACACGGTTTGTGGCCCCATAAGGAGCTCCACCGAAGGCCCCAGTGGAAAAGTCCGCATGCAGCTCCACCCACATTCCGGCGCACCTCTCACACGGTTCGTGGTCCCACAGGGAGTTCCATCGAAGGTTCCAGAGGGAAAGTTCGCATGCAGTTCCACCCCATTTCGGCGCACCTCTCACGCGTTTCGTGGCCCCATAGGGGAGCTCCACCGATGGCCCCAGTGGAAAAGGTCGCATACGGTTCCACCCCCCATTCAAGCGTACTTAGCCTCACACGGTCTGTGGCCCCATAGGGAAGCCCACCGAAGGCTTCAGTTGCAGGGTTCGCTTGCAGTTGCACCCCCACTTCGGCTCATCTCTCATATGTTTCGTCGCCCCATCGGGGGCTTTACCGCAGACGATACACCCAGTTGCGGCACTCACAGCTGCAGATGGTTGGGTCCTTCGCCAGGCTAATCATGACCAAGGCCATGTGTCTTTGACCTTTTCCAAATAGAAAGGTGCCAGAATACGAGGTTTGGCGAGGAACGTTCCATTGATTATCCCCCCCTCCCCCGGCGCCCGCCCGAGCGCGGTGGCGGAACCGCGCGGCAGCGGCATTGGACTGCCCATGCTTTCCGTGCACCCCATTCGGGCGCACCGACCCCACCAGCTCCTCTCCCGGGGCCGGCTCTTCGCCCCGAGCCGTCTCCTGACCTTGCCATCGCTCGGACGCCCATTCCCCGTGCACTGCTCGACTCCGTGCGTGTGCTCTTCGCCAGGTGATCAGAGATGCTCGTCGACGATCCCCGCCGAGAAAAAATGCACACGTCCGAGCGATGCCAGGTGACGGCCCTCGGAGATGGTGGGGCGGGGGGCGGGGGGCGGGCCAGACCCCCGACCTGGCACGGGGAGGGCCGAGGCCCGCGCTGGTCGACGAGGGCCTGGAACTCTAGCCTCTTCGGCAAGGACAGGCCGCTCCGGCCTTCCTGCAGGCCCACCATGACGTGCTCTTTTTCGAACCCAAACATGTGCTGAGAACCAAGACGGTGCCCCTGGAACGTCGGCCAGACATGCTCCAAGAACACCTCGTGCAAACCACAAAGGGGGGCTCTTATCGGGAGCGGCCAAGAGGGGGGTGTCCAAGAGGGGGGGGTGCAAAATCTTGGGAAATATCATGGCCCCCGCCATGATATCCACCCCCCCCTAGTCATCACCCCCCAATTTGCCGCCCCCGATCTCAGCACGTGCTCTGGTGGGCCTCGGGAGGCAGGCCGGGGCGCCGCGCCGCCGCCGGGAGCCTCCACTCCCGCTGGTGGAGCAGGGAGCGCACGGAGCGCTGGAGCACGCTGAAGTGGAAGGGGCTCCGCTCCTGCGCGCGGGCGCCGCCGCCGCCCGGGGGGAGGAGGAAGAGGAGGAGGAGGAGGAGGAGGAGGAGGAGGAGGAGGAGGAGGAGGAGGAGGAGGAGGAGGAGGAGGAGGAGGAGGAGGAGGAGGAGGAGGAGGAGGACGAGGAGGACGAGTAGGACGAGGAGGAGGAGGAGGAGGAGGAGCAGGAGGAGCAAGAGGAGCAGGAGGAGCAGACGGAGGAGCAGACGGATGATGAGGAGGAGGAGGAGGAGGAGGAGGAGGAGGAGGAGGAGCAAGAGGAGCAGGTGGAGCAGACGGAGGAGGAGGAGGAGGAGGAGGAGGAGGAGGAGGAGGGGGAGGAGGACAAAGAGGAGGAGGAGGAGGAGGAGGAGGAGCCGTCGCCGCAGGCACTGCTGCCATCGCCGCTGCCGACACTCGCCATCGCTCGGACGCCCCTTCCCCATGACTTTTGTTGGTCTCGTGCGGGCTTTTGGTCGCCAGACGTTCGAGGATGCTCCTCGATTGCTCTTGCCGAAGATTTGCACACGTCCGACACATGCCAAGACAGCATCGATGCCGCCGCCGCTGAGAGGCCAGAACCTGCAGCATGTCCCCCGTCTGGGGAGCTAATTCTTCCCAGATCCCCTCGCGTTGTGAGAAAATCACGACGGCAGGTTTCTCCCTATTTTCGGCCTCCGAAGGGCCTTTACCGGGCCTCGGGACCGTCAAAAAACGACTCAGGATCAAAAAACAGTCCTGGGGAAGGGGTCGAGACTTCTGGGGGTCGACGTTGTGAAAAATCACGGCGTCGGGGGTCTGGGTCAGGACCCTGGGCGCGGAAACTATAGTTATCTCTACAGCCCACTTTTCCCATGGTAAAATGGCTCTTTCCCAGCGTGCAACTTCCTTGACAGTGCTGTAGTAACACTGTGGTAGTCCTGTTGTAATACTCCGTTCGTGCATTTGTAGTGGTGACATAATGGTTGCGCGCCTCCTGGACGCACTCGGCGGCGGATGTGCACATCGGAAGCGACGGGGTGAGATCGCAATGAAATGGACCCCCACACACTGGGAACCGGTTTCGGTTTCATGTTGGTGTCGTGCGTACGGGCCAGGCGAAGCTGCGTAGGCGGGCGAGAGAGATAAACCCTCGTCTGGCAAGGGCGCCGCCGGGCCAAACAACCGCCCAACCCTTGGGCTGTCCGGCGGTGACCAGGGGTGTCCTGTCGGTGTCCCGTCGGTGCTCCGTCGGTGTCTCGTAGTAAGATCGATAATTGGACCGACGATAGTGGGAGATCGATAATAAAATCGATCGTGAGATCGATGGCGAAATCGATGGTGATCGATTGAGTGAGACGATGGTTCCTCCCCCCGGGGGCCCGAAGCCTCCTTATCACCCGAAGGGTGGTTGCATAGGTACACTCGGGCCCACGGAAGCTCGGGCATGTCCGTTCATGCCGCTCCCCGAAGCCCAGGAAGATCGGCTCCCTGGGCGGTGTATGCACGCACGAACCCCCTTCAAGGATCCGTCCCCGTCGTCGTCGCTGCCTGCGCCGCCTCGAAAAGACGTCGCTGCCGAGTCGGCTCCCACCTGGAAGGGAATCGGGGGCGGCCAAGAGGGGGGTGTCCAAGAGGGGGGGGTGCAAATCATGACCGGCGGCACGTGCGCAGCCCAGCGGGGGGGCCAGGGACGTAATGAAACAAGAAGAGGCGCCACAACATCTGGGGAAAGATCATGGCCCCCGCCATGATATCTACCCCCCCCTCGTCATCCCCCCCCTCTTTGCCGCCCCCGAAGGAAATCGGGGGCTCTTGAGCCGGCCACGAGCAAAGACCAGCACCAAGCAGAAACGGGGCTTTTCCGTGCTGTGCCGGTCACTGCGTGCGATGCGACAGCGGCGGCCTGGGTGCGTGGCTTTGGCCCCCCCGCGCCACGTTCAGGGAGGACAACATGGGGGAGAAACACCGACTTGGAATCAGCGAGAAAACGTCGACTGATCGGTGATAGCCCCCCCCCGATAGCGAATCCGCGAGCTGCTGGGCGAGGTGGGGCTGTCGGGCCCCCATCGGGGATAAGTGGGGGGCGCTTGGGGGTCGACGGATCCTCCCTTTACCTTATACCCCCCGCAACATTGCCCCTAGTGGTCCCTGGGTCAAACCTCGGTTCTCCGGCGGCCGTTCGGGATGATCCGGGCACGCCGGAAAACGCTCTCGACGAGGCGCAGCTGCTGGGGCGCACCTCGGGGCCCGAAGGCCGCCGCGAACCTGGGAACATGTCCGCAAAAGGTTGCCCCCGAGACCCGAAGCCCGCCGAGAAGGCTGCGCACCGGAAGCCGCCCCAGCGGACCGCGCGCAGCAGACCGCAGCGCACCCCCTGTCGGCCGCGGCAGCGGCCCGCCGAAGAACGGAAACCCGCAACGGGACGGAAACGGATCGGGAGAAGTCCGGGATCTCTGACATCCGGCGGTCCCACAAGTTCGACGCACAAGAGAAAAGTTGGAGTGGCGGGTCTGGGGCAGTTTTCGGTTTCTGGGGGCCCCCGCCAGGCCTCGGGATCGTCGAAAAACGATTGCGGACGCAAGACCGGCCCGATGGAAGTGGTCCAGACCTCCCGGGCCCACATGTCGAAAAAATTGGAGCAGCCAGATGTCTGGAGTTCTGGAGGACCCATATCACTTACGAATTTTCCAAACACCTGTTTATCAGAAGCGGGTCCGGTGAGAAAAAGTACCCCCAAGGGAACGGTCGCGACTTGTATACGGACGCGGATTGAAAAATAGATCGGCGGACGCATGGGGTGCCGCGTCCAGGCGTTATTCAAAACTCTGGGGCGATGTATCCCAGCCGGGGGTGGACAGAACCCAGCACGCGGAAATTTGGTGTAAACGGCCCCAGACCAGCCCCAACCGGCGCAGGCCCGCAAATACTGCGGGGCGCAGCGCTCGAGAACGCGGGGGGGGGGAACGATTCTCTGAGCGACGGTCGACTTACCAAACTAGGATTTCTTCCCCGGGGCCGGTTTTTCGTGCCGAATCGTTACTTGGACGGCCGTGACGCCCGTCCCGATGTTTTCGAGACGGGCATCGGGACCGTCAAGGGCCACGAACTCGAGGGCCACGAGAGGCCGAGAACTAAAAACAACAGAGTCCACTCGATCTGTTCGATGCGACGGGCGCCTGGGCCTGGCAGTTCCTGCCTGCCTCCCCGCCAGCCCGTGGCGTCGCAGGCGTCCCTGGCTTTAACCTCCGCGTCGGCACGAGAGGCTCGTCGCGGTCGAAGTTGCGGCGGGCTGCGCCGTGGCGAACTGCGCCTGCACGCCCGGAGGAGGACAAGACAGGACAAGAGCACTTGCGAGCCAGTGTTTCGTTGTCCAGTTACTCGCACCGATGTCGCTCCCAGCCCTGAGATATGTGGGTGCACGAACGCAATCTCGGAAGAGGAGGGGGCGGAGGGGCGGCCGCAGAGGAAGGAATGGAGAGAGAGGGAGGCGCGCCAGAGGCCTGGCGCATGCTCAGCGCAAGTGGAGGCCCTCCCGCAGTGCAAGCAGTGACATTGGGCGTGGCTTAATGGGGGGGTCACAAATGGGGGGGTCAGAAAAGGTCCCCTTTCGTGCCCCTTTCGGGCCCCTCCAGAGCCCCAGGGGGCTCGTTTAGGTACCGTTTGGGTACCTTTTCGGACCACCCTCGCCACACCACCCCCATTTATGACCCCCCCATTACGCGGCGCCCAAAGTGATTGGGACCGCGCCTTGCCGGGATGGCGGGGCTGACGTGGACCCAGCACCCATGAAGCCCTTCGGGCTCGTGGGCTCAACTGAAGAGCCGTGTATTTGTGTTCGGGGCTGGGCCGCATCCTTCTCGGCGCGCGCTTTCTGTGCTCGCGCGGACGCAAACTGTTACACTGGTACGCAGTAGGAAAGGGAGGCTCGCCGCAGGAAAGAATGAACAACCTGCAAAACAAAGACTTCCAAAAGCCCGCGCGGAATTATTGGGTCGGCGCTGGACCCCACTTCCCCGGCGCGCGGAGCCGGAACAAGGAATCCGCACGGACTTCCGACAGTGTATGGTTGTGCCGTCTTATGTTCTTCGATCGCAAGGAGGAGGCGGCAAAGGGAGGGAGAAGAATAGTGGGGCACGTGGCTACAGGTGTTCGTCCGCGCCTGATTCAAAGACTCAACGGGCCCAGCTCCACGGTAGGCGGCAGGGCACAGGTGAGCAAAATGAGAGGCATAGAACAAGGAGGAGCGGGAGTAAGGAGCTGGACGAGGAGAAGGAAGGCGGTAGGAGTCAGGAGGAAGGAGGAACGAGGGAGGAAGGAAGTTTGTCTCGTTCGGAGCGACGTTTCGCTCCAGAGGTGCAGGCGCGTGGTAAGCTGCACCGCGAGCCACTTCATACAAGGAGCGGATCACTGGTGCGTAAGGGATTGAGGATAGATGGAAGGGAGGGAGAGGGGAGGAAGGGAGAGTTGGAAGGGAGAGATTGAGGAAGGGAGGGAGGGAGGGAGGAAGGGAGGGAGGGATTGAGGAGAGATGGAAGGGGGAGAGAGGGGAGGGACGAGCAAGTGAAGTGAACGCAGGAGCGAGGACAGGACGGGTGATGGACACGGAGCGTGAATGATGGAGGAGGGAAGGAGGCTGGAGGATGCAAGAGGGAGGGGGAAAGAGGGAGGAGGGAGAGAGGGAGGGAGAGGGGAGGTAATCAGGGAGGGAGGGATAGAGGACAAGGGATAGAACGAGAGAGAGAGAGAGAAACAAAAAAAGAGAGAGAGAGAGAGAGAGGGGGAGAGAGAGAAAGAGAAAGTGAAAGAGAAAGGGAAACTGATATGACAAAACAACAGAAAGAGCGAGAGAGGCCGGGAGAGAGAGAGAGAGAGAAACAACAAAAAAAGAGAGAGAGAGAGAGAAAGCGAGACATAAGTAAAGGAATACATATACATATATATATATATAGAGCGAGAGAGAGAGAGAGAGACAAACGAACAACAAATATAGGTAACTAGCACCGCAACAAGTAAGATGCAGGAT